GTTAACGAGCAGTTGGACAGGTGTACCTAATAAAGTGGCCGGTGAGTGTATTTTTAAATTTTTGTTTAAATTTTAGAAAAACTGAACATCCTACAGTATTTTTACAGTCTTTATTTTACAGTTAAAATAAATGTTTATCAGATAAAGTTTAATGTTACAACTAATTGTGGATCCTTTTAAAATTAAGAACAAAAGTAGCAGAAGAGACAAACAAGAATTATAAAAACAAGTTGGTATGGATTAGAAGAAAGCATAAGAAGGAATATTATGATTTACAAAACAAAAGTAAGGGTGATATGAAAGAAACATGAGTAAGAATTAGTGTTTTGAAAAATCAAAAAGTACAATCAGGTGTTTCACAATATGTTGTAAAAAGATAACTATGATCAAAATGAAATATAAAATGAATTCAATTGTTTGAATTTCATTTAGAGAAAAATGAGCTGATGAGATTCTTTCTTTTTGCTTCCTTTCATTTAATTTATACCATGTTTTGTTTTTACTGTATACAGATTATTTTGTTTGTTTTTTTAAATGAATTAATGAATAAATAAAATTAAAACATTTGTATCTAGAAGTACAAAAAAAACAAAACAAGTGTAAAGGGGCAAATGACTAGAGCTGAACCTTAAATASCAGCAGTAATCTCCATCGTCCCGCAGCGGGGAAATGAAATCTCARCATTTTTCTCATCTTCCATGTGTCATTTGAAGCACCCAGGGAGCAGCTGAGGGGTTAAGGGTATTGCTCAAGTGCCCAGAGTGGGGCAAATAAAGATTTCATTTTTGTTGTCAGTCCAGGGAGTTGAACCAGCAACCTTCCAACCACAGGCTCATCTTTTCTAACCTCTGCATCACCACTCCCACAGTAAAAGTAAAGTAAGGTTTGGTATTGGTGCACTTGTCCAATTTTCTGCATGTGTATCCTTTAAAAAGTAAATTATTGTGTAAACAAACCTGTGAACTCCAAAGCAGCAAACTGCACTCACAACTTTTCCATTTTGGCTTTGCTTGAATAAATAATGATTACATTTTTTTTTTGTATTTTTGTACTATACTAAATTTAGACTTTTCTAATATTTGGTAAATATCAGGTGACGTGATCTGTAAAACCTTCACATTGACCAAGAGTTGGTGTGCTGACATTCTTTTTCCCCATGACTGCAGAAGAAATTAGGTTAGATCAATAAATCCTGAAGCAACGGGAGGAGAAATAACATCACATCAAACATGTTCCATGGGAAAAATTTTATTTATCAATATGCTGTAGTTTCCAAACTGGTGGAACGTTGTTTCCATTGTAGCTGGTGCCAACAGGTTATGCTGAGAAGCGGCAAATAAAGAGAATGGCAGCAAAAAATAAAAATAAAGTGAAAGAATTTAACAAAAACTTGACAGTTGTAATTCAAACAAAGGGAAATAAATTCAGGGATTTTTTCTTTGCTTTCACATGCACATTGAAGAAAAAAAATCATAATACTGCGGCTTCAAAGAGCAGAAATCAACCTACGGTGAGGCTCATACGACGGGGGACCAACATCCTTGTGCTAAATTAGGAAAGGAGAGATGACAAAGGAGAGGGAAGGAGGGAGAGAAGGAGAAGAGAGAGCATCTTTAAAACAAAAGACCGCCTGGGAGATAATGAGTGGTGTAAACCGGATGATTTATTAGTGAGCGCACCACGGTCACACTCTCATCCGTGGCCTCTTTTCTTTTTTCTCTCCGCCTCTCCCCATCTGGCTCCGTGGACTTATTAAAAGAGAGATAAAGATTCATGTATCTGGACCAAAAACCAGGAGCAGAACTAAAACAGTGTTCGTACGAGAGTTTTAAGTGCTGTCTCCAACAGGGCCTCATCGGCACAGGTTTTAGTGACCGATCCGTTTCAAAGCYACTTGGTGACAAAGCTTTCAGCCCATTTATGAGCAACTAAAATATTCCTGTTGAATGGAAATGTTWAAAAAAAAWAWAMAMAAAAAAAAACCAGCCTAGTTTAAAGTTTCTGTCAAAACGTGTCGTAACGAAGCCTTCGACAATACTGGACGCTGTGTAAAAACACAGCTCATGTGACTGTTGCAATGTTCAGTTTAAATCTAATGAAACAAAAATGTAAAACATGTTGCAGAAAAAAAAAGCAAGGATTCATACAAAACACACTTTTTTTAAAAAGACGGCTATTTACAAACATCCTCCATTACAAAAATCTAATCTTAAACTTTTCTTATGAGCAGTGTTCAGGTGAAATTACATCGTAAAATTGGGCTCTATCCATATATTTACATTTTTCCGCTCCCTCATTTTTTAAAAAGTTTTCCTACACCCC